GGCGAGGGATCAGGCGCTATGTTGCACGAAGCGCTATGATCAGGCGCTACGTTGCATGAAGCGCAATGTAGGAGGCACAATATTGCGCCTTACCAGCCAGGGAGACCAGTTCAGCTTGCCTGGTTGCACATGTGTGCGAAGTGCCTACAGTATAGGTAGCAGTGCGTGCTGCACAAGCTCGTTTGCATACACCATAGCAGGTGGGCGAGCGCAGGAAGAAGGTGGTACAGGGTTGTGGAGGGATATAAATATTATGGATCAGCTACTGGGTCAGGGGAGGGGGACGTAGGGTGAGCTTTGGGATTAGGGAGGGGTTGTGTGCATTGTAGTGGGATATGCATCGTGCCATGGAGCAGGTGATGGTTAGGAGGGAGGTCGTAGAGGGGATCGAAGTGGGGTTTTGGGCGGGGGTTTATGGGATTGGCGCTCTAAGTAGCATAGTAGTGTTGTGACAGGGGTTAGCGTTGTGCGCGGGGGTACATATGCAGTTGTCGCCGCGGAGCGCAGGTTATGTTATGCTTCTCCGTAGATTCCAAGTTTTTGACTTTGTTTTGTTTTGTCCATAGCGTCGTATCGTATTCTCGCTATGGTGGTATTCAGGTCGACGGGCTGTCTCTTATACACATCTAGATGTGTATAAGAGACAGGGTTAGGAGGGAGGTCGTAGAGGGGATCGAAGTGGGGTTTTGGGCGGGGGTTTATGGGATTGGCGCTCTAAGTAGCATAGTAGTGTTGTGACAGGGGTTAGCGTTGTGCGCGGGGGTACATATGCAGTTGTCGCCGCGGAGCGCAGGTTATGTTATGCTTCTCCGTAGATTCCAAGTTTTTGACTTTGTTTTGTTTTGTCCATAGCGTCGTATCGTATTCTCGCTATGGTGGTATTCAGGTCGACGGGTCAGCGAGAATTTGTCATGGGGCGGTGGTGGCGTTTCGTCTGAGTGTCGTATGTGGTTCATCACGTTTCTCTGTTGTCGTTACGAGTGGTGTTGTTTTGGTTTTTGGCCAGGTACAGCGTTTCCGTGTTTGTCTTTTGTAATGTTTTTTTTGAATTTTATTTTTAATTTTTTTTTTTAGGAAAGAGAGTTTTTCGCGTAGTATGCGCGAGTAAGGGATGGTCTTCTTGGTTCATTATCATATTGTGAGTCCCATAACCGAAGGGGTATGCGACAACGGGTCTCTATTTTTATGTTTGTGTTTATCACGGGCGGTATGTGCCGTTTGTCCCTCTGTAAGTCATATAACATCGTTGTTGGTTTCTGTGTGTGTGTTAAGCGTGGGTAGGCTATACTTTTAATTTTTTGTATTTATTATTTTGTTTATTTTTGGCAGAGTAATTAATTCTAAAAAAGTTGAGGAGGTATTTACGTATTTACGGTTATATATATATATATATATATATATATATATATATATATATATATATTTATCCTAACCCTTAAGCAGCATTGGCCGCTGGGGGCACAAGCAGTTAACCAGGGGTGTTATTTTCGGCGAATTTTGCACCGAAACCGTCACACTGTGCTGATTTTTTGCTTTTTTTCTTGTTTTTCTTTCTGTGTGATATATATGTGTTCTAGGGTATGTCATGTGCCCAGTTTTGACATGTTTGGATCAAAAATGAAAAATTTGGCATTTCGTTGAATTCGTTGGACACTTCATTTTAACTTCGATAGTGTTTTTGTGTTAGGGTTTTGTGGTGTTTTTTTTTTTTTTTTTTTGTTTTTTTTGGCCTGTTTCTTTATTTGATGTTTGCACTATGGGCCCATGTCGTTTGTTTTTAAAAATTTCGATGAATTTCGCACCGAAATTGTCGGCGAAAACGGCGAATATTTGGCCTCCCGTTAACCATCTCTCGCGGGGGGGAGGTCGATGGTCCGCTGGGCGCCGGATTTGGGGTCGAAGTTTCGGCGGGGGCCGGCGGATGAAGGCGATCGACGGCAGGTGGGCGTGCAGAGTGGCGCACGTACCGAATTGTTCACAGCGCGCCACTAAACGCGAGAGCGCGCCCACGGGGTCGGGTACACGGCGGGCGTCGATGCAGATGAATATCTCGACGTGCCCACCGTTGATGGCCTTTCCGTGTCGGTTTGTGTCCGGCCCCCGTTTTTTTATTTTTTGTTTCATATATATATTTTTTTCAATTTTTGTCTCTTTACATATTGTCGTTTTGTTTCGTACTGTTGTTTTTTTTTTAATTATATTTTTTATTTTTCATATATATATTTTTTTCATATATTGTCGTTTTGTTTCGTATTGTTTTTTTTTTTTTTTTCTCTTATATTTTCCATTTTTCATTCTGGCGTGTCGTTTTGTTTCCTTTTTCTTTTTTTGCCTTTTGTTTTCATTTTCGTTTGTTTGTGAAAAAAAAAGACTTTCCTTTTTTTTTTCTCCGTGAATTTGCAAGTTCTTAGCGTCGGTCCGAAAAAAAAAACAAAAAAAGACAAAAGAAAAAAACAAAAGAAAAAAATGACACATTTTTTTGCAACTTTTTTGGGTCGGAACGAACTTTCCCCTAAAACATGGTCAGATGCAGGCACACCAGTGTTTGTGAGAAACGTGGTGGGCGTATCTGGCCATGTTTTAGCAGGAAGTTCATTCTCATTTTGCACATTTCGGGGGTGGTGTGGCGATGCCCTTTTTTTGTCTCGCTCTCTCTCTCTGTCTCTCGCTTTGTCTCTCTCTCTCTCTCTCTCTCTCTCACACGCATAGACACCCACACAGACAGACACACAGATGGGACGAAGTTTGCCTGTCTGTCTATGTGTGTGCGTGTGGGTCAAAGAGAGAGATCGAGCAAGAGTGTGTGTGTGTGTGCGCTTGCGTGGGTGTGACAGAGAGTGTGCAGACAAGTGTGTGTGTGTGTGTGCGTGGGTGCGTGGCAGAGGGTGAGTGCGGTCAAGACTCTGCCATCGCCAGTGGCACGAGCCGAGACCAGGGTGCGCCGTGTAGCTATGGCGCGCATGT